TAATATCTTGCTGATTACTTTTTTTTTAAAGTTGAGGATAACTGTTTTAAATTTCGAAATTCGCTGATGTGGAACTATTTGTCAGCCAAATAAATGGACCTCGAAGAAACACTGTAGATTTCCTCATGTTTTGCTATAATATTGAAGTAGTAGATTACCCAAATTTCGTGTTCATATAACTGTTAGCTTTATATTTTTGAGGATTGTTTTTTTATAATAATTTTTGTACTATTACATCTGTTACAATAGTGCATCTCTTGAAATATACAGATGATACTTAGATATGCATGATCATATAATAGCTTTTTTTATTTAAATTTTTTATTAATGTAGATCCCTATCTTGAATTGATACCTTCCTTTAGAAAATAATAGGTGGATTCCTACCTATGCCTCCTGAACCAATTTTTTTCTTTCAGAAAACTGTAGAGGTGTTTCTGTCTTGCTTCAGCCAGTAAAAGAAAATTATTTCTCAAAAAGATGCCAACAACTGTCTCCGTTGAAGATATCTTCTACCTTATTTCATGAGGATTTGAGTATGAATCATCTTTTGGTTACTTACTACCTATGTTATCCTGACACTTCTTAAGAGCTCCGTACTCGTATCTGACCCGTTTAAAATGCAGATACACACCCGAAGCACCATGGGTACGGGTGGGGGAACTTTCAGTATTAAATCCCATACCCGATAAGGCAATAAATCAGAACATGGGTTCTTTGGGTGTTTCACGTTGAACTAAAAAAACCCATAATCTTTTTCAAAGTACCCATCATGTTCCATCCCATCAGAACAAGCCCTGATTTTTTTGTTTCTCAATTCCTTTTCTCTGATTTTATAGACATAACGAAGAATTCTTGTTTCTTGACGAACGATGGAGCTCTTTGACAATTGTTTGATAGTGTTAGACATAGAGAGATGATTTGAGAATATTCTTAAACAAACGTAGTAAGTAGTTTAAACTTTTTAACTTTTAGTTTTTTTAGTGTGTTCTAATGTAACAACTAATTACTATACTAAGAGACTTAAGGGTTTTGTTATCTATTAACATTTTGATATTAATATCTAATAGAGAAATCAATTTTAGTTTTCATTTTTCCTTGTTTTTAACAAGAAAAATCACGCTACTTATTGATTACAGTTTTTTAGTTGCATTTTCTTATTTGAGCTGCATTTTCTTTTTTCAGTTAGATTTTCCAATTCATTTTTCTGAAAATCTCCCAGTTCATATTTCTCTATTTTCTTTCTTGAGTTGCATTTTCTCAAAACCTCTTTATTGAAAATCCACAGTTTATATTTTCTGAGAATTTAACCTTCCTTGATCAAATCTCAAACTAATTTGTCTGTCTATTTTTTGTATTCAAATTTCCCTGTTTTCTTATTAAGGATGTTATTGATTACATTTTTAAGTAGTAAGCTTTTTTTTTTAATTTTTCTATATATGTTGTTTGCTAGTTAATAATTCTAGGAAATTAAATGGAGTCAATTAGTTTTGTTAATGTGGATGGGGATTTACAAAGTGAGTAGTAATGCTTCTCTTTGGAGATATGTTACATAACACAAAAAATTGCTTGGACGCGGAGGAATTTAGGAACGTCAATGTAACTATTTAAGAGTTCCAATTGGAGAATGCTCATCTTTTGAGGATCCCATTATTTGAAATTAAAGATTGTAAAAATGTGAGAAAAATAAAAATGTTGTTAAGATGAGAAGATTATTGGATTAAGCAGGGTTTAGATTGAGACATAGAAGACTAAATATGTTTCATTATCTACATTAATAGCAGCCACAACTTGCAAAAAAAAAGAGAAGTGAGGGTGGACACATTATAGAACAATTTTTTTTGTGAAGCTTGTGATCATCTACATCGTCTAATTGCACGAATGTTTTACATTATATTTAATTTAGCAAGGAATCCATACTTCTTTTGATTATATAGGTGTGCTGCAAACAATGCGCTTAAAGGTCACAGTTCCTCCTGTTATTTAAGAATAAATCTCTTGCAAAAGGATAGATCACACGTTGGAAGTTTATTGGAATTAACAAAGAATTCATGGCATAGGAAGAGCATGATGTCTCCTTTGTGAGTATTGGTTGGTCTAACTCGCAAAGGAGGCCTTTCATTCATGTTGTGGTGGTGACAGTAGATGGACCAATGTTCTTGGATGCTAGCAATATGGAGGGGAAGACTAAATATGAAGTATGTTGTAGGGATTTTATTGAAGCTACTGAAAAGGTTAACCCTTGAAATATTTTACGAGTTATAACTAATAACGCACTGGTTCACAAGTTCATGCGTGGCATCATGGAGACAATATTCTCATAATTTTAGACTCTATATGTTTCGTACACTAAATCTTGATGAAAAATATTCGCTAAAAAACACAAGAAGTAATGAGATAGTTTATGAAGAATGTAGTTGGATTACTCAAATTACCGTAGAATATTTTGGCGATAAAGAAATTTCATAACGAATCAACTCTAAGAGATTGACAGTGTTCAATAATAATGACGTTGAAGATGTTTATTATTGCCGAAACTCATTTGACTTTGATAGTTATCATATTACAACATTTTAAGGAAACAAAACGCATCTTATCAATTTGGTAATTAGTGAGTTAGAATTTATATTAAGATGATGTTAACAAGGCACAATTTGTGAGGCAAAAACTTTTAGATGATGATAGGTAAGATAAGGTACAATATAGTCTCTATATTGAGCCAATGTATAGTATTGCTTGATCCAACGACACTAGCAAGCCTAATTATCACTTGGTTTATGATCTGTGGTATTCCATGATTGAGAAGTTGAAGGCCTTATCTACAGGAAAGAAGGTAAGAGGGAGGATGAAAAATCATTTGATAATGTAGTGCATTCTGTTCTAGTTGATTGATGGAAAAAGACTAGTAACTGTTACATTGTTTAGCTTATTCACTGAATCCAAGGTGAGTTCTTAACTAACCTCTTAATCTTCATTTACTATTATTAATAATTAATATTATGATAACTTTTTATGTTTTTAGGCTCTGTTTTAAAAAACCTCCGCCTAGTCCGCTTAGGCGTACGCCTAGGTCTAGGCGGTACCTACGCCGCCTAACTAACGCCTAGCGCCTAGACGGTATTTATGCTGCCCACCTAGATTTTACAAGCGTTTAGGGACGCATTGTCTACTTATGTGGATTGCACCATGTAGGCATTGATTGTGATTTTATGTGTCGTAGCCTACACGTCCTCCAAACTCCATTAACCTCCAAATATGAACACCTCCACTACCTCCTCCGACCTTCAGCAAAACCTCATCGACCACCACTTAAATGAAGAAAGAAAAAAAACGCCCAGAAACCGCTTAGACGTCCGCCTAGGCGACTAAGCGTTGGGCGACAAGTCTAACGTCTAGAAGCGCCCAACGTTTAATGTAACATTGTTTTTAGGTATTATAGTGTGATTGGCTCATCGAAGTCCCGACTTGAGTTGCACCGCTCAATGATCTTGAAATAGCTATTCTCCAGTGAAGGATCAAAATGTTTGAAGATATTTTCCATTACGAAGACCGACAAATGATTAATATCGAAATTATTAAATTTTCTGTGACATTAGATACGTTTGCGAAGCACCGTTTCTTGTATGATAAGGAGGTTGCAAATCATGATTGGGTTTCCACGAAACTTCTACACCAACGTTGCAATAATTAGCATTAAAATTGCTTGGGCGTTCATGGTTCTCATCATATTATGAGAGAAATTGGAGTACTTATAAGTTTATTCATTCCATAAAGAGGATCTATAGAATCCATATCGAATGAAAGGCTTTGTATATGCCGCAAAATCTTTACCTTTTCTCTAGAAGATTCGTAGAATATTCTCAAGGAGAGAGAAAGATGTGAGACTTAGGTGAGATGAATTGATACTTTTAATAGTGCTGACATATTAGAGTCTGCAAACCTTGTTTCTTGACGAGCCGAAGTTAAAAAAATATTGTATGAAAATGAGAATAGTCTTGGATTTGATTCTACGTAAGCTAGTACAAATTTAAATCAAGACCAAATTTAAATCACATTGTATTTTGTTGTTGTTCTCGACATACATATTTAGGGTATATTTTTGTAAACTTTTGGGGGCATATTTGTAATAGTTTTAAGGTTAATTGCTAGATTTTTGGAGAAACTTGTAATATTTTGGGAGAAACTTTATAACATTTGGGATATATAGTATTTTTGCAATCTCTGACTATGTTTGTAATTTGCGAGATAAGTGATGTTTATGTTTGTGCTCAAGATGACCTAAATGAAATATTAAAAACCAAATTTGATCATATCTACCTAAATTATGCATATATATTTGATTACATAAGAAAATTATGGTATATAATTTGATTCATATTTCTCTTAGGGGCTGTTTGGTTGCAATGTTGTTGAGAGGAAATAAGATAAAGTGAGGAGTTTATGCAGTCCACAATCTACTTCCTAAATATTATATTGTTTGGTTGACAAAGAATAATGGTGTTGTCTCATTCATTATGTTGATATGGCACCTCAAAATCAGTTCTATTCAAATTGGAGGGAATTGTGTGGAAAGTTACCGCAACAAAGTGATGAGGTGGATGTACCCTTCCACATTGACACATTGTGTCATAAATACACAATTTGGCCAAAAAACAACTAAATAGCCGCTTATTTATCTTCCATGTCTCTTCCTCTTTTTTGACATTGTCTTCAATTCTTCAATATATTATTATGGTCCAATTTATTAATTCATCACTTGCAATATGCATTTCACATAGTTCCATATCTATAATCTACCTAATCAAAGAAACTTAAGAATGAAATAGCCTTAGAGGTATTTTAAGTTAGGGGTTTTTGTTTCTAGGCCCAAAAGTTTATCCTGATTTATCTTTAAACCCAACATCTTTTGCTTGTATCTTTAAACCCTATCAGCTTTTTGTATTTATCTCTAGACCCGACTTTCAAAATACAATACATATATATGTGGACCCCTCTTAAAATTTAAAAAAATTCCAATTCTACCATTTCCCAACCTATTCATGTGTTGTACCATATGTAGGCCCCTTATTTAATTTTAGAAAAACCAAATTAAATGTGAAATGAGGAGATAGAGAAAGGGGGGACTGTCCCTGCGTTCTTCTCCCCCCGCTCCTTCATTCCGCAATTAATTCCCCCCTCTCTGTGCTTCTCAATTAATTTATCTCTCTCTCACTCTCTCACTCACTTTCTTCATTTCTCAATTCCCCTCTTTCATCCATTATTCTCTTTATTTTATTCTTCCACTCTTAATTTTCATCTTTCAGATTATCCCGCTATACTTTCAGATTATCCCTCTACACTTATGTGCTTGGTATGATTGTGCACTTGCATATTACCACGCTTTACTTTCATGTTATCACGCTATACTTTCAGATTATCCCACTATACTTTCATATTATCCCGCTATACTTTTAGAATATCACGTTATACTTTCAAATTATCCCGCTATACTTTTATATTATCCTGCTATAATTTCAGATTTTCACGCTATACTTTTATATTATCCTGCTATACTTTTAGAATATCCCGCTATACTTTATATTATCCCGCTATATTTTCAGAATATCCAGCTATACTTTCATGTAATCCAGCTATACTTTTATATTACCTCGCTATACTTTCAGAATATCCTGCTATACTTTCATGTTATCCTGCTATACTTTCATGTTATCCCGCCATACTTTCATATTATCCTGCTATACTTTCATATTATCTCTCTATACTTTCATATCAACACACTATACTTTTAAATTATCCCGTTATACTTTCATATTACCCCACTATATTTTCAAAATATCCTGCTATATTTTCATGTTATCCCGCTATATTTTCATATTATCTTGCTATACTTTCAGAATATCTCGCTACATTGTTTTCTAGAGGCATCAGTTTCATAATCGAGGTTTTTAAGCATGAATTAGGCCTTCTGTAACTTTGCTAGACTTGTAGCAGTACTGCAGCTGCATTTCAATACATGATACTATGATACTTAGGATGCTGATGGAGTGTAGATTTCTTACTTTTTTGTTCTACTTGATTTCTGCAGACACAAGATGGTATGCTCTGGTCGATATGAAAAGACAACAGATAAATCAGGAAATCAAGGCAGAAGAAAAGTTTCGAAAGGTGACATGTTATTTTGATTTATGTACCTTGTTCATTATTTTTTCTTTCTGGTCTATTGGTATTTATATGATTGCTTCAACTTCAGTATTTGAATATAAGTTGTATATTGTGGAAAAATAATTGTGAGTAGCATTGAAAAGTACTTCCTGACTAGAGGAAAGAACTAGATAGCAAGGTTCATGCTATTTGCATATACTTCATAGAAATTGACAAATTTCTATTTTACTACATATGAAAGGAGCCAGGGAAAAATGCAGAGAATTAATTGCGCATGGTCTAATTATGCCCTCTTTTTATATATATGATAAGCAGACATGAGAACGTGTTGTGCTCCGATATGGATGGGGTATACATGGCCATTACACAAAATCCAAATACAGAGACATGTTTATACTTTATATATGCATATTTGTTTGAGTGTATGTAAACTTGAGTTAATACAAAATTTATGTATTTGTTGATCTTCATATGTGACAGAACCTAGTTATAGGAAAATGATATATTAAGAGAGCTTTTGCCACCCAAAAAAAAAAAAGAAAAAGAAAAAGAGAGAGAGATAGCTTTTGCAAAAACTGGCACATTATGCTCCATCTTATATGTAAATTTTGAGGTAAATACTAGTTTATGAACTTGTGAGTGTCAGATATGGATGGACACACCAACTTTTTTGGGAAGTTTCCACATATTATAGCTTTTTATTTATCACTTCCCAATTCTACATATAAACTATACTTTTTGTGATGACAAGGACAGAAACAAATAAGCAGTGCGGTCTTTAATATATGATCACCTGATTGTTCTTCCATATGAACACCTGATTGTTCTTCCATAAAAATTCGCCTGTCTTACAATCCATTGTGATTCCTATATTTACTGATAACCAGTTTTATTTAATGGGGACCCAGATGCACAAGAGAGTCAGGGTGACGAGTCCAAAGGTTCATCTCGTCCAAAAAGACAGGTTAGAAGAAAATCAAAAGATGCTGGACAAATGAAAGATGCATCTAACATAAAAAAGCTTACCACAATTGATGATTCGCCTACAAGCTCAGGCATCAAATCTCCAAGGAAAAAACGGAAGGCTGTAACATTGAAAACAGAGGGTAACCCATTATCTCTCAAAATTCCTAAAAGACCCAGAAGACCTTCATTCAAGGAGAAGATCGATTATCCTGTGAAGGAGAATTTCAGGAAGAGAATGAAAAACATCACCATTGAAGATCAATATTTTGCCTTCTACGGAGATGAAGAGTCGGATAAAGACATAGAACCACTGATTAACAAGAGAACAGAAAGAAGAAAGACAGAAAAGCTTTCTGAAATTAAAGCCGAAGCTGTTGATGTTGTTTGTTTTATTCAAAATGGCGAGAATAGTAAACAAGATACAGCCTTAGCAGGGAGCACGAAACATAATGTTGTATGCATTTTAGATGACGATTAGAGCAATCTGTATTTATTTTGTTCGCTCCTCTTTTTTTAGTATAGCCTTTTGTTCCTTTTTTTTGGGTAATGTAAGGATACAAAGATGATCTTAAAGTAGGAGGGGTATAGGATGTCTTTTGGTTCCTTAGCTGTGTTTTATTTCTCCTTTTCATTTTGGTAGAAAATATCATCTGTATATTATGAATATGTTTTTGTAAGGATCTGTCATATGTGAAGATCCCTCACGAGGAAGCATTCTGAATGGATATGTACTGATATTCAATCAAGATTTGGTTTCCAAATCTCTACTATGGACATGTTTTTGTATGGCGCATTGGAGGTCTTTTAGTGTGCAAATCCAAAGGTTTTATCTCAAATTAATATACAAATTATTTAAGTCAAAGACATAAAATTATAAAGTTCAATGCTCAAGGAAGCTGAAGGTTCCAGTTTACAGCACGTCTGCTTTAGAAATGTATGGGAGCTCAAGTGTTTGATGCATCCATACATCTGTTTACATGAGTTTCTCTACTGTTTTGAGACTCAAATCCAAATACCTAAGGAGTTATCCTTCCCTTTAGTTTTATGAGGAGTTGGCCTGTGTCTAAAAAACCCAAATAATTTAATATAAAAATATGCAATGTTAAAGAAAATCTTCTGAAATCCCTATTTCAACTCAAATGGTAAAATTGTGCTAAAGAATATGTGCATACTTTTTTATTTGATGATAACAGATCGGATAACTTCCACTCTGCTCAATATATTACAAGCCTTGAGGTCGGTACCAAGTGAATCTTTTTTTCTTTGTATTTTCATACAAAATGCTAAATGTTCTTATATACCTGAAAATTCACATTTTTATTTTGTTTGAATTAGCAGATCGATTTACATGTTCTACATATCTAAATACGCAGATTCACATTACCTCACGTAAGAATATTTTCATATATGTTAATATCCGAATTCACATAATTTATTCTAGATTAATAATTTTTGAACATATATGTTAGGATATGTGAAGCCTAACTATCAAGCATGCCCTATACTTCAGAAGAGAGGATGAACAAAGTTGGAACAGGAGGAACATGATCGACGACGACGAAAAGTTCAAGCAAAACGACGAAGGAGACAGTTTTCTGCATCGCGGTCGACCGGCCATGGCGCGGCGGTCGACCGACGTCGTGCACAGCTGGGTGCACAGGCCAGGAGCTCATCGCGGTCGACCGAGCATGGCGCTGCGGTCGACCGGCAAAAGTCCAGAGAGCAGTCCAGAGTTTTGCCTTCGTCGCGGTCGACCGCACATGGAGCTGCGGTCGACCGCCCAAAGTCCAGAGAGCTCGATCAGGAATAGGATTCGTCGCGGTCGACCGCACGTGGTGCGGCGGTCGACCGGAGTCGGGTTTTGGCCCAGTTTCAAATTTTAACTTGTTTTGATCTGTTTCCTGTTTTAGCTGTAAAACCCTTAAGTCTATAAAAGGGTTGATTAGGGCATGATGTATTAAGACGAAAATTAGTGAATTTTTTCTCCTGCGGCGGCCGTGGACGTAGTTTCTCACATTGAGAAGCGAACCACGTAAATCTTGTGTGTTTGAGATTGTTTGATTTTCTCTCTTCTCTCCTAAATCTCTATTTCCAAATCGCATCAGGGGGGTTGTGCATCCCCAACAATATACATGTTAAGTTAATTTGATTTGCAACATGTGAAGAGTTTCTTGCAGTCATTGAAAACTTTTTAATAAAGCGCGGGGGAGCTTGATTTCACGGTTTCCACCCAAAATAAAAAAAAAGTTGAAGAACTTAACTATTGAAACCTTTCCATTTAAAATGTATTTATATGATTTTATTAATGATATGATATAAATAGGATTGCAGAGACATCACGTTTGCATAAAGCATTTCGAGTTGTTTCCTTTCATAGAATTACTTTGTTAACTTTAAAGGCAATTCCTATGTGTTCTCTGCCTCTAGTTTGTCAAGCTCATTGGTCATTTTTGGCAAGGACGCCTGTTGTTCCTAACTATGCATATGGGCAGAAAATGATATGGTGGGCATTAAACTTTGCTGTAATTTTAATAACAATTGCACATTCATTTACTTTTTGAAATATCCTAAAACAAAGTACAGGTTATTGTACTCAAACATCCACGTGTTGTGCCTTAAGCCTTTTTCAAAAGAACTTCCACATATTTTTGCAATAGTAAGAGGGTCAAGCTAAGATATACTTTGGAATATGAGTCAGAGAAGTACCAGACAATAATAATTACAATACCAAAAGAATAGATGATACGTACAGTTATTGATAACAAAAGTTGCATTATCTGTTTCTTTTTCGCAAAGTACTTGGAATTATCTGGTGCCTATAATATAAAAAAGAAAGCAAAACACATGAGTGTATGTGAAACGTATAAAATTATAGTACTTTTGATATGAAATGAATAAGTTCAAGAAAAGAGCCCTCTCTTTTATAAATTTTGAACTATGGGGCATATTCGTCGTATAAGAAAGAATCAAATCTGTAGGTTCGTATCTACGTAAGAAACAGATGCGTACGCCATATAGAGCCAATGAAAAAATTGGCCGACTAGGTCACCTTAGCTCTTATGATCTCATTGTATCAAATTTTAATATTGGACTATTATAGAAGTTTCAGATGTGGCACAAGCCAATTTCAGAAAGAATTCTTTCACTTTATAAGTTTTGATTTCACTCTAGATTCATGCGCCTACAGAGAGTTAGTAGGAAAATCTGCCTATAAATTCACTGCGTTTGGCCAAGGGTTAAGGAAGAGAGAATAAGAAGAAGGGTTAACTTAGTTAATCCATTGTGAAGGGTTAAAAATATTCTAATTCCGTTTGGATTTGATAGTTAAGACAAGGGGTTAAGTCTTTTGTGTTTGGCAAATGAAGAAGAGATAAGGAGATTAATCTCATTATTTTTTTTAAAAAATACCACTTTCGCCCTTACTGAAAATTTATAACTAATTGCCTAATTAATATCTTTTTCGTGTTATTTACCTTCTGAGCAATTTCAAAGATTTGAAGCGCTAATATATAATTTAGATGAGACAAAAGGGATTAATATCTTTTTTGAAATAACGTTGAAATTACAATGCATGAAAACCGAAATCAATCCCCATGCCCAGGAATCACTAGATTCGCTACTATAGTTTGAAACCGAAGCCGAAATACCCAGCATCAGCATCATAGTCAGTCCCTCTAATGCAGAAAAGCCGAAACCTAAAAATACCATGTCCAGAATGCCTCGTATTATTGCTACAGAACTACCAAAACCTCCAGCAGGAACAGAAACGAAGCCCATGAATCAAGGCCCAATGACGACATCGGCAGGTTCCCAGACTGAATATGCGAGAGCGTAGCAGAACCAACACAAAACACCCAGCAGAAACCGAACCAAAACCCATGAACCAAGGCCCTTAGATGAATATGAAAACTACCAGCAGGTTCCCAAGCTGAGTATGCAAGAGCGGAGCAACCGAAAGCCAAGAAGGAAAACCAGAAAACTAGAGTAGAGGAGCAACCGAAACCACAAAACAGGAACAGAAACATAGGTGAGCACCTTAACTAGTATGCCCCTGCTGCAGAAATGAGTTGTGTTCCAAACTTCCGAACACAGAACATGAAGCCCAAAGTAAAGAGAACTGACAAACATCGATAATCTCCTGAATGCAACACATGGGTCATCTTCCAAGTGAGCTGACAAACAAATTGGAGCTCCTGAATGCATATTAAAAACAGTACTAAACCACCAAAGCAAATTATAGTAAAACAAACAAATTGGAGCTCCTGAATGCATATTAAAAACAGTACTAAACCACCAAAGCAAATTATAGTAAACTGCTTTTTGCCAATGAAAAGAAAATAAGAAAAATCAAGTGAACAGTACTAAACCACCAAAGCAAATGCATCATGCCCATTGGCATTACGGTTAGATTATAGATCTACAGTAAAAGAAATAATTACCAAATAAGAGTTTGTTATTACTCAAACAAATGCTATTATATAGACTACGTCATAACATTTTTTACCACTATACTTATGATCCAAAGAAACAAAAAGCAACCAGGATCACAGATTTAATGGTTCTGAAATAGCCACATATTAAAAATACTATACATTTAGATTCAGTCTTATTTTCTCACTCAGTGGGTGTCAACAAAAGCAAAGCATATCATATAGAGATACAGCGACAGATGCAAGCTTCAAAAGTTGGTGCCAAATAACGCATGAACAGAAGCCAGCACCTGAGGTTGCCTACAAGCCCTACATAAATAATTTTTTTTTAGAAATTTCTCATTTTACAAGCCAAATCTAAAGAGATATGGGGAAACATTAAAAGATACAAAATGCTAATAAAGCATTCATCTTCAATTAAAACAAAAATCTGAGAGCACATTTAACCCATCAAAATAACATAATTTGATTGTCTGACAAAAAAGAACATAATTCGTTAGTCTAACCAAAAGATAGTCACTCTTTGGAACATCAACTTTAACTAAAAGCAAGGAAATATACTAATAAACTAATTATGAGTGCACATTTAACCCATCTACTAGTCTTGACTATTGAGACTTGAACATAAAGCATCAATTCGGATGAAAGTTTTGTTTCTCCTTAAGTAAGCTGACAAATGACCCCATCTCTTGCATGTTGCTGTCATGAGCTTGTGACATTTGTGATTGACCCTGAGAAGTTTGAGAAAACCCTTGCTAACTTGGTTGATTAAACGACTCACTTTGGAATTGGTACATTTGAGGTTGTTGATGTTGAAAATTAAAAGTAGGCGAGGGATAACCAGACATTGCATTTTGTAAATCCATTTGTTTCTTGAGCCATGATAATAGCATTTGACCGTTAAGCATATTAACGACATGCCTATTCTCCTTCTTTTTAATAGCTTCTGCTCCTGCCACACATAGATCACTAGTTACACCTGATAAATTCATTATCTTATCCATGCATTCTTTCATTTCAGTGGGCACCCCTTTTTTGTAATCTACTAGCTCTTTTGTAATTTCAACTCGCTGCTTTTGAAGCTCAATCAGCTTTGACATATTATTTTTAACTTCAATACCTGATACTCGACGACGAGAAATATTTTTAAACTTACGCTTTAAACCTGATGGTTGAGCGTGACGCTTTATGCTCGGAGTAGAAATAGGTATTTGGTTGTGATGGTGGTTGTGTACCATTAAAGGGAACTTGTGTCTCTTCCACTTCTTGTACCTCCTCTGAATCACTGAAATCTATCTCGTTATTATGTGGCCCCTCAGTATCCTCTAATTCGTTATCTGAACTAGTGCTTCCTTCACGCTCATTGAAGTCATCAGTAGTCCCAAACCACCAGCGCCCCTTAGATGTGTTACCTCCACATAGAAAATCCATATCATCAAACTGAGGAAAAGGTTTGTTCTTAATTCTTAAATACTCATCATTCTCCTGCGGTAGAAAATTCATAATAAATATATCATAGTTTTAATTATATAATATTCAAATTCGAACCATATGTGTAACTGGAAAGACAGCCCCAAAGCTCGACAACGAGAACCAATTCGAACCAAAAAACCCAACAATCGAGAGCTAAACAAGCTCGAATCATATGTGTAACTGGAAAAACAAAGATTAAACATACTTGAAACTTAAAACTTAGAAAGATACTTGGGTCTTCTTTTTAGTCTGATATCAAGAATCATACTTGAACTTTTATCCTTATCTGCAGGGGATAAAACAAAGATAAATATGGTCATATTTCTGTACACTTAAGAACACTCTGTTTACAACCCTGAATTCTAAGCATTTGATTAGAAAGATAAAACTCGAGCTTGTGTCTTTTTCCCTCCAATGCATACAATTGTACCTACTTCTATACAAAACAGAAATGATAAACAACAAAAGGATAAAACAACCAATGCATACAATTGTACTAACTAATCTAAATCTTATGCTAATGCAAAAACTAAGAACTTCTACATAGTCACTTATATACAAATTTTAACTGCATTCAAAGCTAACAAAAATCTAATCCACTATACCATCAACACTCAATCTTTGACCTCAAAACAATTTAACCATGTAAACTGTACATTCAAACTTTATATCATTATTATTGTATATGACAACCTTTGACCTCATAAAGTATTCTAAAGTTGTACGAAATAACAGCCTAGACTTTTCTGCTAGCTACCACTACATTTGAATTCATATTAGAAATTGAAATCTGACACCAACTAAATAGTTATACATGTTTCATTATTGTACTCCAAAATTAAGACTTCTTTTTTGCATTGTCAATCTACATTCGTAAATATATTTGAGAATTGGAAGTAGATATGCATATACATGTAAGTATAAATGATTTTGCTCATGTATGAACATGTCTGATTAAGAATTGGAAGCAAATATGCATATACATGTAAGTATAAATTATTCCATGCTCTTGATGCATTTTTCGGTAACAAATGAATATGAATAACTATAAGATTTGGTCTATGCATTGCAATATTTGTTTTATCTTCCAAGTAGTTGTATTGCCAAGCCATGAAGTTGAATATTTCTCAGTCTTGTTGTGATCCACAGTCAAACATGTAAGTATAAATTATTCCATGCTCCACTGTTTGTAATTTTTTAGATGAAATACTTTATCTCCTTACTTGCAATCAGGTTGCTATAAAAAAGTCTTCCCTTGACATCCATTATCTATATATATTTACCGGTTCTCTATATTTTTCTGAGGAGCTATGGTTTATCATATAATTGTTTTTGGAACCAAAATTATGTGGCATCAAAATTATTTCAACAAATTGACAGTAAAAAACTATTGCAGAGAATGCTTGATTAAAATTAAAAAAAACCACCTTTAACAATAAAGTTTCAGGTTTCTAAGAATTAGAATGATCTGGCATATTTATACATTGAAATTTTTATTTAATTTGGATAAAGGAGCTGGTTTTGGGAGTCTCTTGCCAATCAACCTATCTTTATACGAAAACCTTTGAACTAAAAAAGTATGTTAAAATTGCACGAAATAACAGCAGTACACAATGCATGTAGCTTTAACAAAACAAAAAAAAATCTGTGACAAAAGTTCCCCTAATAGAGAATTTGAAAAAGATACATATATCAAGTTCCTAATAGAAAGAGTATAAAAATTAAATTATTAAATTTTCATGGCTGAGAAAATCCCACTATGTAAAAGAAAATTTCTCTCTTTTTCTTGATTGTTCCCCTAATATACCTATTAATAGTTGCGAAAAATCACTCAGGTGAAAAAAGTAGAGGGAAATTTAGGAGGGAAAGGAGTAGAGGGAAACAATTTAGGGGGAAAGTTTTTCACCTGATTTCGCTGCTGATTTTCACTGCCGAACCCTCACAAGATCCCACTATGTAAAAAATTTCTCTCTTGTTCTTGATTGTTCCCCTAATATACCTACTAATAGTTGGGAAACTCAGGTGAAAAAAGTAGAGGGAAATATAGGAGGGAAAGGAGTTGAGGGAAACAAATTGGGGGGAAACAATTTCACCTGATTTTCGCTGCCGACCCAAGCAATCCAGATGAAGATATTTTTCCTAATTCCCCTGCTTGCCCTCGCGAGAGAAGGCGGAATAAGCCTTGTTCCGCCTTCTCACGCGTAATAGTAAACCCTTGGGATAACGGGGTTAAACGGGTTAAAATGCTCACGTGCGGGTTAACAAACACTTTGGCTTATTTAACTGTTTGGCAGACTAATGAAGGGTTAAACCCCCTTAACCCTCCATTTAACCCTTTGCCAAACGCAGCCTTAAGCTCTCTTTTTCACCATTGCCACTGATTCTCTCTTGAGTTGATTCTTGCTTCATAGTAGTTACATAGGTTGATTACGGCAACAACAATGGATATTGATGTTGAGGTTCACCCTGGTATCCATGCTCTCTTTTGGCACTATAATACACTATATTTTGATGATGCTCTCCAAAAATGCAAGGTTCGTTGGAGTTCCGAGTCTCTAGAAACATCAAATTCCAACTCTCCCCTCCCCTCTCTTAAATTTCTATTTGTATTTGACAAGTTTCTTCATGTATTGTTTTTGTATATTTCAGAATGTCAGCGATGATTTTTATCCTTTTGTTTTCTTCAAACCGCTAGGTCTATCTTAGTTAGAAAATCCATTAAATTGTTAGTAAAGAACTAAATTTATATGAATTGTGTTATTGAACTTCTGTTTAGATTTATGATAATATGGATTTTTTTGTTTGTTTTATAATTGCATTGTCTAGAGTTCTTTATCCCTTCAGTTTCAACATTGTTTCCATTCAGTAAGATTTCTATACAGAATGTGTCATATTAGAGAAATGAGAAAATATCTCAGATGGGTTAATTAATCCATAGGTCCTCCTTTTAGGGAGAAAACTAGTACCATCTCTATACATTGACAAACCAATACGTAAACTATAACAAAACTAAAGTCAGTATGATAGAAGTTCGATGTCATGCAAGGTTAAAAGGTTTGTAGTAAAAAATGCAATCTATAATTTTTCTATGTAGCTTCAAATATAAAATTTTCACACGCATATCATAGTGAATTACTTCATGACGGTAAGCCATTAACTTAATTCCTTGCTTAAATTATAGTTTAGCAGTGTATTAATACCCACTATAATAAAAAAGATTTAAACAAATGCGTTTCTAAAATTTTCCTACAGTAGCAGGTAATGTGAATAACCCATGCATGCAACTGTGCTTCAAATATATCACGGTAACTTGTACACTGACAGAAATATTACTCAACATTTAGGCACTTCTTGTTTTAATGCAGATGTGCAGGTACTTGTTATTATCTTGAAAATGGTGTCTGTGAAATAATACTATCAGAGGCCCTGAAACTCTATATAATGCTGATGACCAGAAGAATCTCTTGTTGCATGATTCATGCCTTTCTGTGCGTTCTTGCAGGCAACAAAAGTCATGGGTATGACATTACGGATTGAGATTATTCTCTCGGTTCTGAGTTACATAGTAATTACCTCATTTGGGCATTATGTGATCGCAGCTATCATGGCAGAGATTTTATTGGTAAAATGAACAAAATAAACTCTGGCGAAGATGAAGATCCTGTTGTAAGTTAGAACTTTGCTAAAGTAATATATATATATATCATCTTTTGAACAATGGTTATTAATTTTTTTTCCTCCTTCAATTAATTTTTCAGAAACCAATCAATGGATACAACGTCACCATTCACCACAGATGGTAATATCACTTATCAGTTTCTTACTAGTTAAATTTATCTTTAAATTATGATGATTTATTGGTAACCTCTGAGTTTTATATGATATTTATTTATTTATTTGCTTGTTTTCTTACTAGCTTCTATCCAGGGTGAACCTAGCATACATATGAATCAAAGGGGTGCGGAAAGAAACTCTTCATACTTTAAGTGCTCGGTGCTTATGGATCATGACCAGTCTTCGGGTGGGTCATTTGCTCCACACTGGTAGAAGTATGCTAAGAAACTAAGAAATTAAATTTTGAAACATTTGTTCATACAAAATGAGCATAGAGCGATAAGTAGGCCAGATTCTTTAGTCTTTGTTTTCTTCAGGCTGGAGATGCAAGACCATGATAAACATACAAAGATAACAGAATCAGGTGCAGCCAAGGACAATATTATTGGTGTTTCGGTTGGTGAGACACGATACCATGATACGCGTACAAAGATGACAGAATCAAGTGTAGCAAAAGACAATGTTATTGGTGTTTCATATGGTGAGAAATACTCAAGATCAATGATTTATTCTATTTAGTTTCTTTTTGATTAACCCTTTTGCAATATTTATCTTGAAAGGGGAACGTATACTAAAGAATACTAAACATAGATTTTGATTTTGGATGGCTCAAATGCATTAGCCCATATCCAGTATCTTTTAGTTTCAATGCAATTAAAATTCGGACTCAACCCGAATGAATAGGTGATAGTTTAGCTAATTGACTACATAATCCTATTCTTATAACAGGATTTGAATGCTATTATTTGAGTAATTAGATCTTTTTATCTCTCTAATTGATAATAAACTGTAACTAATCTGCATTGAATATTTTTTCCCAGCTATTTTCCTTTGTTTAGTATTGCCTTATATATACTCTATACGTTTTGGTAATTAATTTACTGGAAACATGGGAGGGCATTGTTCGCTGAAAAGAAAAAAGTCAATGCAAAATTTCATCCTTTTTCTATCTATCGGTTATAATGAAATAAAACTCTGGCTGATGCAAAACTTATCAACTGCAACTGCATTGCATGCAACATAATTTACTTACATTCATTTACTCAGAGAAAACATGTTACAAATAGTCTACAACTGTTATCCAATAAGCACTCTCTCAATATATATATAGTCACGCCTTACTCAGCTCCACACCCTCATTCTCCATTCTAACCTGTAGAGGCTTAAATGTATAGTACTTGCAACAAACCCCAAAAAACCCCATATTCAAAACCTGCAACCCTGTAACAATCCAATAGAAGTACTCCAACTTCCCCTCATCCAAGTCATCCGGCAACCAATTCGAATACTTGTGAATCACATCCACCAGCAAACTACTCGTGTAACTCCCCGCAGATATCACCAGCCAATAAAGCGCCGTCGCCGTGCTCCTCATACTCTCCGGCGACTGATCGTAAAAGAACTCCAAATGTCCGATCGAAGTAAACGCCTCAGCTACGCCGTGCAGTGCGTACTGGGGAACTAACCAGAACACGGTGAGGGGTTTCTGCTCGCTAAAAAAGTAGAGTTTACGCTTTTGTTCCACGAAGCCGGCGACGAGGGAGGCGAGAGTGGAGATTAGGAGGCCGACAGCGATGCGGTGGAGGAAGGGGATGCCACGGTCGAGGCCGGTGAGGCGGCGGAAGAGGGGGATGAGGAGGCGGTCGTAGAGGGAGATGGTGGAGAGGAGGGAGAGGAAGGTGAAGACGGTCATGGAGGCCGCGGGGATTTGGAAGGAGAGGGAGGGGAGGAGACGGCGGTTCATGGATTTGGCTTGGAGGTGTGCTGTTGGGCCGCGGCAGTGATGAGGAGGATGCCAGAGGCCCAGATTGGGCCCATGCGGATTACCGATTTGAGTTCTTCGATGCGGTGGACGGTGGCGAGGCGCCAGGGGTTTGGAGGGGAGGAGGAGGAGGAGGCTTTTGATACTTGGTCTTGTTCTGTTATGATTGCTGCCTTGTCTAAGAACCTGAAATAGAGAGGAAGATTTCTGTTACTTAGCTTCAAAATCTTTGGGAATATTTAGAGTCAAAATAGTGACTACAATTTAGTTACTCTTCCCAATTCATATTTGGTTTGGCGCCAAATTTCACTCAAACATGCATGGACTGCCACTTAGGGTATGTTTGGTTAATTCTTATTTTATGGTTACTTCTAAGTTATTTATTACTTATTTTTACTTATTTTGTTAGCGGGTAAGATAGTCTTTTAACATTACTTTTTAACATTACTAAGTAAATCTATTTAGGAGTGGTCAAACATAAGTTGGAGAATCTCAACTTATTTTTTTCTTACTTATAAGTTTAAAATAAGTAATGAGTAAACTGATACTAATATGATCTTCATACCTTATAAGTAGGGGAAAATGTGTTCAGGCCCCAAAAACAGAAACTTCATGTGCTGCAGCTCCTCTTAGTTTCCCCCATGTGATTCAGCCCCTTGAAGTGTGACACTTTATACTGCAGCCCCTTTTTAGCAATTATTACATGCCAGCTAAGCTAAAATCACCAAAATAACCTTATCCCATCTCTTCAATCCCTCAAACCCAGCTCTCTCATCTCCCTATGTTAGTTCTAGCTAGTTGAGTAAGTTAGAACTAACAATATTCAAAGCGATATAACGAGAGATAGAAAATGAACCCAAGTGAAAGGAAGATACCGTGTGATAGACAATATAAAGGGCTACACACCGGCGAAGACGGTGGTGAAAACGGAGACCGGAGGTGGCTGGAAAACGCGCGCGAAGTCGGCACAACGCTGCTACCGTCGAGCGATGTTTCGGATGTTACCGAGAGAGATAGAGACCGAGTTAGAGCGTGATACAAATTGAAGGTGATAGGCAACATGTAGGGCTAGTCAACAAAGAAGAAATTGGCGAAAACGGAGATTGGAGATGATCGGAAAGTACGTGCGAAGTTGGCACAAAACTGTAGTTTTCTGCAGTGCAATTTCTCGCCGTTCGGGTTTGTTCTTCGCTGTTCGGAGCTTTTCTCCGCTGTCCGGGCTTGCCGGAGGTGGGAGGAGGTTGTCGGGGTCGTCGGGGTGTCTCGGTGGGCTTCGCTGGAGGTGGGAGGAGCTTTTTCTCAAGTTAGTTCTAGGCTCTTGGGCTCTCAAGTTAGTTCTAATTTGCCCCATGTTAGTTCTAACACGCCCCATGTTAGTTCTAGCACGCCCCATGTTAGTTCTAGCTCTAATTCATCTTAGTTCTAGGCTCTTGGGCTCTCAAGTTAGTTCTAACTTGCTCCATGTTAGTTCTAATTTGCCTCATGTTAGTTCTAATTCGCCTCATGTTAGTTCTAGCCCGCCCCATGTTAGTTCTAACTTACCCCATGTTAGTTCTAACTTGCCCCATGTTAGTTCTAACCTGTCCCATGTTAGTTCTAGCCCATCCCATGTTAGTTCTAGCTAGTTGGGCAAGTTAGAACTAACAATATTCGAAGCGATATAACGAGAGATAGAAAATAAGCCCAAGTGAAAGGAAGATACCGTGTGATAGACAATATAAAGGGCTACACACCGGCAAAGACGGTGGTGAAAACAGAGACCGGAGGTGGCCGGAAAACGAGCGCGAAGTCGGCACAGCGCTGCAGTTTTGTGCCGACTTCGCACGCACTTTCCGATCACCTCCAATCTCCGTTTCCGCCGATTTTTTCTTTTGTGACTAGCCTTACATGTTGCCTATCACCTCCAATTTGTATCACGTTCTAACTCAGTCTCTATCTCTCTCGGTAACGTTCGAAACATCGCTCGATGGTAGCAGCGAGCGGAAAATAGCAGCACCATGTCGACTTCGCGTGCTTTTTCCGGTCACCTCCGGTCTCCGTTTTCATCACCGTCTTCGCTGGTGTGTAGCCCTTTATATTGTCTATCACATGGTATCTTCCTTTCACTTGGGCTTATTTTCTACCTCTCGTTATATCGCTTCGAATATTGTTAGTTCTAACTTGCCCCCAACTAGCTAGAACTAACATAGGGAGATGAGAGAGCTGAGTTTGAAGGATTGAAGAGATGTGATAAGGTTGTTTTGAGGTTTTTAGCTTAGCTGGTATGTAATAATTGCTAAAAAGGGGCTGCAGTACAAAATGTCACACTTCAAGGGGCTGAATCACATGGGGGAAACTAAGAGGGGCTGCAGCACATGAAGTTTCTGTTTTTGGGGTCTGGACACATTTTTCCCTTATAAGTAAGATGCTTGTAAGTGAAAATGGGGCATTTTAGGAATTTCTTCCACTTATATGGATCATGTTGTTCTAATAGTGTTCTTATTCTACACTGCACTCAACAAAACACTATTGTACCCTTTTTAGTATTTCATTAATTTTTTTATGCTGGAGGGTATTTTTGCCTTTTTTTGGGATAAGTTAAACTTGATTGTATTACTTTGAGGGATAAGTTGGGGGGAAAAGATGCTCATGACGTTACGTGCAAAACGCCTGATGAGGGTTTTCCAAGAATTTTCAATAAATTCCTTACGAATATATAAATGCTACTTCAGAAAGCAATTTGATTTTTATTTAATATTCACTACTGCTAGTCTTATTTGATGTAAAACTATTCTCACTCGTGAAACTCTGATTCTAGAGTAAAATTTGGATTTTAAAAGTTAATGCTTAGAATGTGAATTGAGCTGTGATGGAGGGAACCATAAGAGAGAATTAAGTTGAAATTTTGGAATTAATTCCGCCAATATTGTGGTGAACTCCGATGGGCTGCAAGCCTGCAATTGTAAAGATTCTAAGGAAGAGGACAGTCTTGTATCATTGGTGCTTTGTCTTAAGGTGTCATATACATTGTACATTTTATTATTAAATGATTTACGAAATTTTTTTATTTTTATTTTTATTTTTGGTGAAAGAGAATTCTCGTGACTTAATTGGATTACATGGCCAGAAAGATATAGTACTAAAATAATAGCACTATTATCGGTGCATTTCTTTTATCGTTTTATTCAGTGTCGGATCTACAACATTTTTGGTGGTGGTTCAAAATATACACTAAATTTTTTTCTCAAATAATAGCAGGTGGGAAAAAAATGAAGGAAGGGTTATTAAAGAGAAAAACAATCATTTTTAAACAATGATTTGACTTATATATATAAGAAACAAAAATATTTATAAAAGGCCTTAAAGAGGTAGACAGAACAAAGGGATAAAATGAAAGGAAAAGAAGAAGAAGAAGAAGAATAGAGGGGAGGTAAAAGGAAAGAAGCCTAAAAGAGAAATTTTCGAAGGCTGGATGGTTTGAACTCCAGACCTCTTACAAAATATTACCAACTGCAATACCACTAGGCTATAGAGAACTTTTGTATGAGGTGGTTCAAGTGAACCACTTTGAACAAGGATGGGTCCGCCACTGGTTTTATCTCAACGGAATATTCGGTTTGGCCAATATCATTTGGATCATGCATGACGTGTACACGCATGATTTTGTACTCAAAGTGAAAGCTCGAGTGTTCCTCTTTGGCTTTTATAAGAGAAGAGGGCGTATGCCTGTGAACAGTAAATCAATTATTTTATCCAAATCATTCTACGAAAGGACTACCAATTAATTAAGGTAAATGAGTAAAATACTAATTTCTAATTAAACAGGTGTTGCTACAGGGACCCAAATAGGGGATTCAAAGTATGGGACATGTGATGTGTTACCATTCGGTTGCATGATGCACTGTTCATGAACATTGCATCATGAACTGAATGGTGACACCTCACCTGTCCCATACCTTGAGTCCCCTATTTAAGTCCCTGGCGCTGGCGCATTAATGTTTCTAAACATATGAGTACCACAAGTGAATTTTAAACTTGCAAAAAAAAGTGAATTTTAAAAGTTTGTTTATATTGTTTTCTAGCTTAAATGACATTAACAATAAAAAAATGATTCATTTATTTCTAGAGAAAAATTGCAAAATAGACTGTTTTTGCTAATTATTTAGCAAAATAGACCATTTTGCTAAATAATTAGCAAAATAGACCTCTTTTTGGCCAACAGGCCAAAAAGAGGTCTATTTTACAAAACAGCTCAGAAAACATACGGGACTAATAGTCCCGTATGTTTTAATCACTGATTAGTAAAATTTTCTACTCAGAAAACATACGGGACTACTAGTCCCGTATGTTTTCTGAGTCACTAATCCGTGATTAAACATACGGGACTAGTAGTCCCGTATGTTTTCTGAGTCACTAATCCGTGATTAAACATACGGGACTAGTAGTCCCGTATGTTTTCTGAGCCTTGTTTTTCAAAATCGACCTCTTTTTTTCAAAAGAAGTCTATTTTGCTAATTATTTTACAAAGTGGTCTATTTCGCTATATATTTCATAAAAATGGTCTATTTTGCAAATTTTCCCAATGGTCCAAAGTCATTGTTAAAGATTAGCGTCTCCACATATTTTTATATATATCTTACTATCTAATTATATACATCCAATTTGTAATTGATATAAAGCTTGTCTTCAAACTTTGTACACAATACGCAACGCGATTAATTCGGTGGATGATGACGTGACTATAAACAGAAGATGCCAAGCAAGCATTAATCAAGTCCATTTCTTCACGTGGCTTCCCTCACATGGGAGTAGTTATCACATATTTGTCCTATCCTCCATCCATTATTTCCTTTGCTACTTTATACCCTAATCATTTAGTAACATTATTGATACAGGGTAAATTTCATAAATTATATGTTTACTAGAAATTTACCATAAACTTTCAAACCATCAAATTTCACATACTATAGAAAAAGGCTACCTATAAAAAGTCATGAACTTATGCTTATGATTTACCAACTATATTAATCTTTTAGATAAATCCATTAAATTATTATGAACGTTAAGATGCTGTCAGATAAAACTCTAGAATTTTTAAAAAACTATCATGTAGTTCGTTTTTCTGTTGATTTGAAACTTTGCAGTATTCTTCTCTAATAAAATGGTTCATAGTAGTTTTCTACGAAACCACTCATAAACCGACCGTAATTTCGTGAAATTTATCGTAAAACTTATTTAGATACTTACTAGATCAACTAGCCGTTAGAATATAAATTAAATTGTGCATCTCCTAACTTATCACTACAACTTCAGATTTTTGATGCAGTGCCAGAATTTTTTAGATGATGTTGAAGCAGTCTCGGATTCGATTCTCAATGGCCACATATTTAATGTAGATATTAAAAAAAATAAGATTAATGCCGACTTAATTAACGGAATAAATTCGAACATAAACACACATGAAAATGAACAAATTGCTAACCTCCATTGTTTCGTATGAATTAGCTTTCCCCCAAGAGAAATAGGAGCATCGATCTCATCATTCTCATACAACAACCTAGCATCCTCAACCGTAGCCAACTTCCTCTTCCTATAAGCGGCAACCACCACCTGCCCCACAGAAGCCTACAGTAACACGGGCTCGCCTGCGGAATCCAACCGCTCCATACATCGCGATATACCCGCGACGCAACGAAACAACCGATACGTTCATCGCCGCCGTAGGGACTCCCGCAGCCCTAAACCCCACCCTACATTGTTCTTGAAATATAGACCACCACAGCTGACCGCTAGAAGCATGGATAAGCCCATGAGCGAATATGACCAGTTGAAAGAAGTTCCATGTCTTTGCTTGTTCTTAGGGTCCGTTTTGCGTCGAATTGGTCGCGCGCCGAGGCGACGGACCGCAGGCGCGCGGATGCCGCCTGCGCCGAGGTGCGCGTGAGGCAGGAGTGGAAGACGTAGAGATTGCCGAGCCTGCCACCATGAGGCTTGCTGGCAATTGACAGGGTTTTTGGTGGAACAAGGTGGTGGTCTGAATTGGGGGAGGACTGCTGATATTGTTAGTAGGATCATTCCCTGTGAACAAATTAAGGTTTATTAAAACCTTCAAATATTATATTAATCAATAAGCGATATGTAACGGTGGTAGAAAATATTGCAATATTTGATGGTAGCTTTTCTCAATCACAATTAGCATCATAATTCAAATTACCATAAGTGTGTGTGTGTTAGGTATATATGTTCAAACATGTATATATAAGTGTCATGATTCTATAACCAAATATGATTGATTAGTATAAAAATATCATAGACTTTATTAAATTTTTTTTGAAGAAAAAGAGCACAAACTTTGAAATCATTGGAAGAATATCGTACACTGTGAGAAAATATATTTCATCATAATAACAGAACCGTAATAATTTGGGTTACTTATACGTAGGTACCCCTTAATCATTCTTTTGAACTTTCATAATAATGCAGGTAGATCCCGTGGGTGAATTTTTTTTTTTACTCTTTATCTTCATATAGACTCACTAATTTCTCCAGAGGTAATATCTGTCAAAATTTCATGTGAGGGTGGTTGCAGCCTTTGTTAGCGGCATGTGGAGCTGCTCAGTTAAGTAAGTGACCATGTTTGCCGAGAATCCGACCACCGCAAGTTTCTCCGATATCTCGTTGGCTGCGTCGACGACGAGACGAGGGTGAAGTTGTAGTGCTAGAAATTCAAGAATTTGTGAACAGCGAAGGAAAAAGATAGAGAAAGATTAATTAATTACCGAAGATGAAGGGCATTGTTCTAAGCCCTCCGACGACTCTTTTCTCATCGTCATCAACTTTGAGGCTTCCATCGTTGTTCTTCTCTTGATCCATAGGGTATATATCTTATTAGTGTTGGAATTTTAGTGGAATATTGAGTGGTTGGGGAGCGTGGAGTGGTATTTATAGCGGTTGTTGATGTTCGCAAAACACTAATTTTGATTTTGGGATAGTGAGTGAAGGAGCACATATGCGGTGGTTAATTATTTGGATCACATGGCAAGAGGCTACTTGCTAGGGGTTAAAAAAATGGTGGGGACTCGAATACTTTTAAGGCTCATTGTTTGGTTCGTTTTTTAACTTGGTGGAAAAGTTTTACACCGCCTTCATATCAGATTTTTCGTGGTCACGTAGGATATAAACTTTCAGTCGGTTTTTTCCCCATCTTTGGTTCGCTATGGTTGAAGAAGGAAAACTCGGTGAAAATCGCCGTCACATCAGAATTTTTTTCTCTCCCCAAATTCCTCCCTTAACCTTGCGAAATCGACGAAAACTGCAGCCACGTCGGCTTTTTGCCATATAAACAAAAGTTTTCTCTTTTTTCCCATGCGAACCAAACATAAGAAAAATAAATGCATTGGTTTCCCATCATTTTTTTATGTGAACCAAAGCGAAACAATCTATTTCTTGGAAAAGTTTGGAAAACTCAAAACTTGTGTTTTTGTACATGAAAATGCATTTCTCTATATCTAGGAAACGAACCAAACAGCCCCTTAACATAAAATATGGCTTGTTTGCATTTTAATACCCAAAAGATTCACCCTTTTTAACTATGAGGTCGATATCATGAAGTTCGGTTTTCACAGCCCGGTATCCCAAAGTTCTCCAAATTGGTGTCAATTTGAGAGTTTGATACTCCAAAGTCTTTATCTGTCCCTCACTTTATCCAAGCTCAAAAAACCAAAATTTGGTAATAAAATTTGTTTCCCGTTTTGCTGTGTTGATGCTTAACGAAAGTTTGCACTAATTTTATGTAATTGCTTATACAGTTATACTGATTTAAAATTAGTCGTGGAGTAAGCATAGACTACGTACTCTTGTCTCCATAAATGATTCTATATAGAGTGCTCTCTATATGGATTTTTTTAAAAATCTTTTGGACCTATCGATGAGACTTAATTTGCAAATGAAATTTCAGTAGAGTTACATAGGACTACTTTGTGTGTTTTTGGTAGACTAGGTTCCCCATTTGTGCTAGCTGTTGGGAATTTAACGCCTAAATCCCTAATGTAACAGAAACGCAGAATAGAAAAAGTACACCAAGATATACGAGGTTCGGTAACTGTCTACGTCCTCGGGAGCCACACAGTCAATTTCTTATTAATCAAACAAGAAATTACAAATCAAGAGCAAATCCCAAAACTGAGATTTCTCAAAGATGAACACTGTAGCTACAGTGTTAATAATTAAAGGGAATAAACCCTTTCAATTCTCTCTCTCTCTCTCTAAAGTCCTTTCTTAATCTCCCCTCAATGCATAGTTGAGATCGCTGGAGATGAAGAACCAAAATCGCTGCTGCGATTTCAAGGTTTGGAGAAGAGGAACGCTGCTGCGTTATTTTTGGTGCCGCCGCCAGAGAGAAATCAGAGGAGAGAAGCAACAACAAAACCCTAGGGCGACGAGGGGTTTATATAAGCAAACATGACAGGCTGGCGACAGCCTGTCGCCAGCCACGCGAAGACGCGGACGTCGGAGCGCCAAAACGCGGACGTCAGAGCTTGGACGCGAGGGTCGGTGTCCCAAACGCGAGGGTCGGTGTCTGAAACGCGAGGGTCGGTGTCTGAAACGCGAGGGTCGCGTTTCCCACAATTTGAGCTCGCCTGCTCGAGCTCCACCTGAAACTGCGCCTGCAGTTCGCCGTCGACTTCGCCTGAGTCGACGTCTTCGCTCGCCTGCATGGTTCTCAAGCTCGTCGGAGCTTCGTCGGAGCTCCTCGCCGGAATTGAGGTTTGATCTACACCCCTTTCTAATAATCTCCCACTTAGAGATCAAACCGCCGTCAACGGGCTATCGCATCAAGCTCCTCTCATGTGTGGCTCCGCCCTCATCATCTATGCATGAAGGCCAACTGAAGTTGCGCACAACTCCAGTTTCTGAACGGTCACCGTCTTTGTTAACATGTCTGCTGGATTCTTACTTCCTGGAATCTTTTCCAGTTTTAACACGTCATCTTCCAACAGGGATCTGATGAAGTGGTACCGAAGCGCAATATGCTTCGTTCTAGAATAAAATGCTGAATTCTTCGCCAAGTGTATTGCACTTTGACTATCACTGTGCAAAATATTCTTCTCCTGTTTGAATCCCAGCTCTGTCAATAAGCCCTGAAGCCATATCATCTCTTTACTGGCTTCAGTCACTGCAACATACTCAGCTTCTGTAGTGGATAGGGTAACGATCTTCTGTACCTGTGACATCCAACTAATAGCTGTAGTTCCGACGATGAATACATAGCCGGTGGTGCTTCTTCGGTGATTAACTTCACCGCCGAAGTCTGCATCTACGCACCCTTGCACTTCCACCTCTCCCTTACCAAAGTGCAAACACTTCTGTGTGGTGCCTCGTAGATATCTCAGAATCCACTTGACCGCTTCCCAATGAGCTTTTCCTGGATACGACATAAACCGGCTGACCACTCCCACTGCATGGCCAATGTCTGGTCTCGTACAGACCATTGCGTACATCAAACTTCCGATAGCTGAGGCGTAAGGAACCTGAGCCATACTCTCTTTCTCTTCTTCTGATTGAGGAGACTGATCCTGCTCACAGGCTTGGCATCGCCCATGTTGAATCTCTGCAAAACACGGTTGATGTACTCCGTCTGAGATAACTGCAAGAGACCTCTCTTCTTATCTCTCGTGATTTGCATTCCAAGGATCTTCTTCGCTGGACCCAAGTCCTTCATGTCAAACTCCTTTGACAGCTGCTGCTTCAAACTCCTGATATCCTCCATATCTGCTTCTGCAACCAACATATCATCAACATACAACAGTAGGATAATATAACTAGACTGATATATTTTGAAGTAGCAACAGTGGTCGGCGTTGCATTTCTGGAATCCTTCCTTGTGCATGAAACCGTCAAACTTCTTGTACCACTGTCTTGGGGCTTATTTCAGGCCATACAAGCTCTTCTTGAGTCTGCACACCAGGTTCTTCTTCTTTTCTTCTAAGAAACCTTCTGGCTGGTGCATGTATATCTCCTCTTCTAGATCTCCGTGAAGAAACGCCGTCTTCACGTCTAACTGCTCGAGATGAAGATCTTCAATTGCTACAATACTCATCACGGTCCTGATAGTATTTAGCTTCACCACGGGAGCGAAAATATCGGTGTAGTCAATTCCTTCCTTCTGCTGAAAACCTTTGACAACTAGCCGGGCTTTATATCTTCTGGAACCATCCTGCTCCTCTTTCACCCGGTACAACCATTTGTTGTGGAGTGCCTTCTTACCCGTGGGTAACTCAGCTAGTTCTCACGTCTGGCTTGATATGAGAGACTTCATCTCATCTTTCATTACAAGCTCCCACTTGCTCGCATCTCCACACTGACAAGCTTCATCAAAGCTTTCAGGCTCCCCACCAGCTGTCAACAACAGATAGTTCATGTATCTCCTGTTGGGTACAGGAGGACGAGAAGATCTTCTTAATATCGGAGCTGGTGCGTCGGGCTCCTGCGCACCATCTTGTCCAACAGGTTCTTTTGGCTGAGGACCCTCTGCATTGGGTTCTTCCGAGAGGTTACTCGGGACATCATCTGCATCTATAAATATTGACTCGCTCTCTGAGTCATCTGTCTTGTGCATGTCCTTGTACATCACCTTCTCGTTGAATATCACATCTCTGCTCCTGATCACTTTCTTATTTTCGTTGTCCCAAATGCGGTAGCCGAACTCATTTTCACCATAGCCGATGAAAGAGCATTTCTTTGACTTGGGATCAAGCTTATTCCTGCCTTGATCACTAATGTGCACGTAAGCTACACAACAAAAAACTTTAAGATGTGAGAGTTTTACCTTCTTTCCGCACCATACCTCGTCTGGTATTCTGTGCTCCAATGGAACCGATGGACCTCGGTTGATCAAGTAAGCTGCTGTGTTGACCGCTTCTGCCCAGAACTGCTTCGGTAGGCCTGACTGTACCCGAATGCTTCTGGCTCTCTCTGTCAACGTTCGGTTCATCCGCTTAGCCACACCATTTTGCTGAGGCGTGCCTGGCACGGTTCTCTCCATTCTGATCCCGTGCTTATAGCAGAACTTCTTGAATCCGGTGTCTTCATATTCACCGCCATTGTCGGTCCTGAGCTTCTTTATTCTCAGACCGGTTTCATTCTCGACCATAGCTTTCCATCTCCTGAAAGCCTCAAATACTTCTGACTTATGCTTCAGAAAGTAGACCCACACTTTCCGAGAGTGATCATCGATAAAAGTCACGAAGTAGTGTTTTCCACCAATGGACGCGGTGGTTGTTGGTCCCTACACATCTGAGTGAACGAGCTCTAGTTTCTCTTTCCTAGGGATTCTGCCACTTGTCTGAAAGCTGACTCTCTTCTGCTTTCCGAGTATGCATTCTTCACACATATCCATCTCCACTGACTGTAGTCTTGGGAGTTTTCCCTTTGTGTGCATGATTTTCATCCCCTTCTCACTCATATGACCGAGTTTCTGGTGCCACAGCTTTGAAGTCTCATTGCCTGCTGCAACTGAGATTAAACAACGTGCACCTGCTGTCATATATAGGGTACCAGTCTTCCTGCCTCGGGCAATAGTCATTGCGCCCTTTGAGATCTTCCAATCATCTCCATGGAAGGTCGTAGTGTATCCTTTACCAGCAAACTGGCCTACGGATATTAAGTTCTTTCTCAGGTCGGGAATATACCTGACATCCTTCAGCTCCCATACTGACCCGTTCAACTTAATTTTCACCACGCCTTTGTCCACAATAGCACATGGTTGATCATCACCAAGATATACGTATCCAAGATTTCCGGGAACATACTTCTCGAAGAATTCTTTCTGAGAGGTAGCATGGAACGACGCTCCTGAATCTAACACCCAAGATTCCTCCTTGCTCTCCAAAGAGCATATCAATGCGTCGTCTCCTCCTGAAGTGGATGTGACATTCACCTCTGCCTTTGCCTCCTTCTCTTTCTGTGCCCTCTTGCACTGA